GTTCTGCAAACCATTCATTTGCAATGGACCTGGTAGTGGAGAAACGGTCACTTAAGGCCAATAATCTTAGGCGGCGATCTTCACGGTCTGTTGTTCTACGGCGGCGTTCAGTGCCCCTTGCTCTTTGCGTACGGCCTTCTCGAAGCCATGCCTGACAACACCTAACCACAGTGTCTACACTTCTTTGCACTATAACTGCAATTGCCCGAAAAGAAAGTCCACTATACGGCCCCTATCAAACTCACTAAGTCGACGAAATCGTACAGGTCTCCGTACTCTAGGCATCGTAACCGATCGTAAAGGATGTCAAGAACCAACATCCGCCAACGTTGATTCTTTACTGCGGCTGAAATATTCATTTTTAGAGCGTTAGTGAATTAAAAAAAGCAGTACAAAAACCGGGATGTCCAACTGATAAGGCTGAAAATTTTTTCACTTGTTATTTACAGTAAGATAAATACATTCACCAACTTTTATTAAAATAAAACCATTTAAACTGGGTGTTCGGATTTATATGTCACTTAGTATATTAGCAGCCAAGTCTATACGTTTACAATAATAATAATAATATCCGAAAAAGGACAAAAGTTTGCATACAAAGTCCTCAGTTCTATTTATTTACCTTCCAGGATATCAGCGAGGGCGTGGACTATCGAGCTTGGACCGTCTGCATAACCTGGTGGTACTGAGATCTGCCTGTGCGTGACCTCGATAATGCTGTCAGTCATTTTTTGATGAGACGAGGAATACACTGCTATCTGCAATTAAACTATACTACAACTATTTAAAACTGTAATTACTCATACGCGTGATCAACACTTGATCAGAGCTCGATCCCGGCTTCCTTCCAGTACAGCCGTATAGCGTACGACATATGTCGTTTCTGTGGCTTTGCGGTGGTCAACAGCACAGACAGAGATGGAAATAATGGCTGATTGTTCTCCGCCGGTAGAACCAATGAAATCAAAGACGCGCCTCGACCGGCAGACTCATAGGCGTCGGCAACGCATTGGAACGTGTTTCGTTGAGCGATCGCATATTGTGTGTTTTTATAAGAATTGTTGTGTGATTGTTATTGTTGTGGTTTCTGTGGTTACTGTTTTGGTTATACTTAACCATGGAGAGTACAAATGGCACGAGTGGAAGTACTGAAAGCCAGGGAACAAGTAGACGGCTTCGTAAATCACTGAAGAGGGACGCGAAAGAAATCGAGCTCAACGTGTTCAATTATCTGAACAGAACTATGTCGCAGGGAGAAGCACTCGCGCGTTGTGAAAGTATGACAGGCGTTCCAGAGTGGACCATTCGCAGGGTGGTGCATGAAAAGAAGAAAACTGGAGCTACTACTGATCCAAAGTTTAATTTGAAGGGACGAAAGGCCGTTAAATTGGATGACGATAGCAAAATGGCGTTAAGGCGAACCGTACATTCATTCTTCTTTAGGAATGAGATACCAACCCTCAAGGCTGTACATGCAGCGATCAAGGAAAATGAAATTATACCCCAAATGAGCGTCGAGGTAATGAGGAAATCCCTGCACGAAATTAATTTTCGTTACGAAACGCGTAATCGGAAGTTAGTATTGATAGAGAGACCTGAAATAGTCGCCTGGCGTCGAAAATACCTACGCGAAATGATTGAATATAGGCGACAAAGCAGAAACATCTATTATTTGGACGAGACATGGGTAAATGCAGGTCACACAGTTAAAAAAACCTGGATAGACAAAAACGTAGTGAGTAACCGACAAGCAAGCATTGAAGGTTTGTCAACAGGTCTTCATGGACCGTCAGGGAAAGGTCAAAGATTGATCGTAACTCATATTGGTAGCGATAGTGGCTTTTTAGAAGAGTGTGACTTGATTTTCGTCTCTAAGAAAGGAGGTGATTACCATGACGAAACGAATGCCAGCTGCTTCGAGAGCTGGTTTCAAGGGGTGCTTCAGCGAGTTGAGCCCAACTCTGTGATCGTCAAGGATAATGCTTCCTACCATAGTCGTCGAGCCGAACGTGTACCGACTATGGGATCTCGAAAAAGTGACATGCAGCAATGGTTGCGCGAAAAAGGAATCCCGTTTGACGATTCATGTGTGAAAGCGGAATTGTATGAAAAAATTAAACAGCACAAACCTGCGAACATTAGTTACGTGACTGATGAGATGGCCCGTCAATGTGGTGTCACTGTGCTGCGGTTACCGCCCTACCACTGTGAACTGAACCCAATAGAGCTCATCTGGGCTCAAGTGAAGGGTTATATTGCGCGCCATAACACAACCTTCAAATTACCAGACGTTAAGGTTTTACTTGAGACTTCCATACAGCTAGTAACGCCCGAAGCTTGGCAGAATGCTATCCGTCATGTTGTGAAGGAAGAAACAAAAATGTGGCAGCTTGACCACCACATCGACACCATCATAGAGCCAGTGGTAGTCAATTTCAACGAGGAAAGCGATAGCGACAGTTTATTACTGTCAGATGTAAGTGGAAGCGACGATGAATAAAGGTAATTCCCAAATTTTTGACTTACAATATGTTTCAAACCACTCTTTATTAAGCATGTGACAAATCGACAAATCTAGTTCACCCATGTTAAACATTCATACCCCGCCTATGAACAGCCGACTATTGGTAGTTAAGTGATGTTCACGAGAACATCGATGAGGCATTACAGTTTTAGATAGTTATAGTATAGTTGATCACCTCACGATGCGAGGAGTGGCTAGTTGTTAATGGAACAGCAGCTTGGTGTGTCGGTGCCCAAGTTGCCTATTTTAATTTTCTTTTTCCTATAATAATAATAATAGTATTTTATTGAGTCTGGTGTAATTTCAGCTGTTTTTGTTCCTCTTCTGTTTTATTTAATTCTACGGTCGCGTCACCGTTGCGGGCTGGTAATACAGGGTGTAAACGTTACGGTAGTCATTATTTAAATGGGTAATAGGGTGGATCAAAACAAGTCAAAAAGTTCATATGACCCATGTTCCAAAAGTCAATACATTTTTGTCTAAATGGCTTTATAGTTTACAGCTTCAAGTGCTATATACCACAATCTAACTATTTTTTTTAATCTAATCTAAAACAATTTTATATTGGGTAATTAAAAAATAAATGGCATTAAGTTTTTCTAAGTTAAAAATGTTCCAGGGACGGACGAATGTACTTTGGGCCCAAGCAAATCATCATACCATTCGTGATGGTCATTTCTAACAACGATTGAAAATAAATATTTTAATTGGGCCTTTCGAGTTACCCCCAAAGTTGTCAGGAGAAGGATACCTTAGCTTTCTAGCCAATAATCTACCAGAACTTTTGGAACAGACCTTAGACAACATGCCATTGCAACGGAAACAGAATTTGCGGTTTCTTCATGACGGGGCACCACCACACATTTTTAGAGGCGTCATTCAGTATTTGAATGAACATTATCCAAATCGCTGGATCGGTCGAAATGGCCAGCAAGATCTCCTGACCTCAATCTGAAAGAATAAAATATAAATCGTTCAAAGGAAGTTTCCCCATCGTGGCGTATTTGTTGTTGCATGTGGCAACGTGGCCGTAACTAGAGATGCATAGTTTTCCATGCATTCACGCACCGCATACTGTAAGCAAAAATAAACCTTTAAAAGAGCAAATGCAGTCTCCGACGCTCTCATACGGGCGAGCTGACGATTTCGTCTGATGTAGCGATGGGAAATATATCTTCGATATACACAACCGAACCTCGAGCAGGTGATAAATAGACAGTTAACGTTCTTCTATTCGTCATTTTCCGTCCGAGTGGTCTGCAGGATCTTCGCGTTGTGGGTCAGTACGTCAGCAGGTTTGTCAGGTCAGGGTGCCCAAATATTAGATACATTATGGAGACAGGAGAGAAGAAGAAAGACAAGAAAACGGGGTAAGAGCATAAAAGGAGAAACTACGTCGATTGCCGTCGTTTTTATTAGGGACTTCCCACGCAATGATGTCATCAGGATTATGTTCGTCACAAACTAGATTCTATCGATATACAGGGTGGCCGATATGTAACTGACTGGTTTGTATCTCGAATATTTGTGAAATAAAATAAAATGCGTCCATTTGTTTCATCTTAATCTTTTATTGAAACTTACAAATTATGTTTGAAGAATAATGTCCGCCTCTAGAAGCCACGCAAACCTGAGCCCTCTTGATTACGTTTTCCATCACTTTTTGGTAAGTTTCGGGAGGAATATTTTCAATCACTGAAACGATTGATAGAGATATTTTATTAGGTAAATTGAAGGCATATGGTATAACAGGAAGTGTTTTAGATTGGTTTAGACGTTATTTGTCTAAAAGGATGCAAGTTACAAAAGTTAATGACACTATTTCATCAAAAATTGAAAATACGTTGGGTGTTCCACAGGGCAGTATCCTGGGACCACTTCTTTTTATTTTATACATAAATGATTTACCTGCCATAGTCAAAAAATGCAAAATTCAGATTTTCGCCGATGACAATATGATTTATATAAGTACTAAAAATATTCAGTCTGGTATCTCTTATATAAATGAAGACTTGAAGCTTGTCTCAAAATGGTTAGCATCTAACAGCCTAAAATTAAATGAAAGTAAAACGAAAGCCTTGTTAATCGGAAAAAAACAATGTACAAATATTCAACTGAATATTGATGGTGAAGATATTGAATTCGTAGAAAACTTTAAATATAGTCAACGCCAAACAAAGTGGCGTGCACGTCATCAAGGTGGGTGTGTTGAAAAATTTACATTGTTGCCAAACTTTTTGTAAAATAATAAAATTTATTATTTACATATCTAGGTTTATAAGCAATATTAACCTCAAATGAGAACAAAAATAATAGTATAATAAAATTATAGATCTGTACTTGCATAATCATTAAGTATGACAATTATTGATCAGATGACACTATGAAACTACCATATTTAATTGATAGCTTAAAAGTACTGAATAAAAATCCAAATGGAGTCCTCCAAATTTTATGCATGGTATTTATTTTACAGAATTCATACAGAAAAATGCATTCTAAAATTAGGTAAGCTACTGGTGTAAGCTTTTTCTGTACAATAAAGTTAGTCGGAGTTTCTTTCTTCAGCGCTGTCTGAATCTGAATCTTCATCACTCTCAAAGTTGATTATTAAAGGTTCGATGTCTGGTCGATCAAAAATTCGTTCTCTTTCATACCATTTAAAAATTTCTTGCTCAGTATGTCGAACACTATTTTTCCACATGTCTGGGGTAACTGTTTGTAGAGCCTCGTTCCACATATCCAAACAGTCTTTTTCACTGTTACCATCTCTACCAATATGTCTGTTATAGTAACCTTTTGCTATGCCCCAAATTAACTCAATAGGGTTAAATATACAATGGTAAGGAGGCAGACGAAGAACTTTGTGCCCATGTTGTTCCGCCAATTCATCAATCACGTATATTTTAGGTGGTTTGTTTCTAAAAAAGCAGTTATTTTAAGAATAGGAATAAACAAAAGAAATATAAACTGTCGACCAAAATATATATAATTAAGAAGCATTATGTACCGAGCAACAATACTCAATAGCTCTGTTTTAAACATTGTGTTTAAAAATGGTATGTTTTGATTTGTCAACCAGTCTTGGATATTTTTTTTTGTCCATGCATTGTTGGGCACTTTGTTCAATATCATGCTGTGATAAGGGGCGTTATCCAGTATAATCATAGATGGACTCTCCAATTTTTCTAATAACTGATGTTGAAACCATTTCAAAAAATTGTCCTGGTTCATCTCTCCATGGTAATCGCTCAATTTTGTTTTCGAAGAAAATATCGCTTCACTACCCTCAATAAACCCATTTTCATTTCCAGCATGTAATATAATGTATCTAAAATATATTAGTTTTAAATTTTATAGTGCAAATTGTGTAAAAGTACATACCTTTTACCATCTGTTTTAATAGCTTTCACGCTTTTTTGGTTTCCATTTTGCCAAGAGCGACCTATGGTCCCATTTTGAAATATCCAAGTTTCATCGAGGAAGACAAACTGGTATAAGGCCTCAACCTTGGCTTGATTGTATTGCCTTAGAAATTCCACCCTTTTCAAAGCTATACTTGATAGTTCCATGAGCCCTCGTCGCGGATTGTCCTTAAGCCACTTAAATCCAAGATCTCTAAGCAACCGCCTTAAAGACGTGGCACTACCATCAAATAATGCCCTATCTCTTAATCGAGACCATAAAGTTTGTATCGTAACTTGTTCTTCTGAAACCATGTGTAATATGACATTATAATTTAGTTAACAAATTAATGCAAATTTCTGATAAGTTATTATAATAAGATCTTACTTTTGTGATACATATTATAGATCACTTCTCGAATGGCACTTGTATCCAATGTCGCTGTGTTGGTTACACGTTTAATATAACTCCGCTTTTTCTTGGGCGATTCTAAATTTGCATCACTTTTCACACCCTCGGAAATACGACTAACTGTCCTTAAACTAATTTTTAAAGCAGCAGCAACACGCTACAAAAAATGAAATAAAATTTCACTATTATTAATATACATTACATATAATTATTAGTAACCTACCTCTTGAACAGCATTTAAAGGCAACAAAGGCCCGTTGTTGTCCCTTTCTTGCTCAAAGTAGTGCATTAACGAGGCCACGAGTTCCTTACACCGACTATTTAACTGTTTGGGCATCTTTATATACCAAAATTGCCTTTATCTACTCGTAAAATGAATAATTTTGTTTTGAAACAAACAGTTGTTGATTTACAGTATGCGGGGCCAAAGGATTTATAAAGATTTGAAATGCCACAAATTGATTCAGTGTCAAAATTAATACAAATGTCAGTTCCCAGTTTAAATAAGTTTCAAGGTGACAATGTGTCAACGCTGCGAAATCGGTTTAGTGCGTTTACATGTCGATAAGTGATTGGAGCGTTTGCAAAACATTTTATTTCGCATAATGCGTCTAAATTTATCAAAAAGCAACTTATGTGATATTTTAATAACAATGTTTATATGACTATTAACCATAATAAGAGAGTAATGACCATTTTACAATTTATATATCACATTAATATGAAACTGCAATAGAGCAATTGTTTGTGATAGAAACCTAGGCATTAGGTCGGGGAATTTTTATCGTGATGACGTGCACGCCACTTTGTTTGGCGTTGACTATACCTGGGGGTTTTTGTTAACTCTCGATTAATTTTTGATATTCATTATGAAAAAGTTATAAATAAGATTAGTAGTAAAGTGGGATATTTATCGAGAGTTTCTGGATGTCTGAGTTCATATAGCAGAAAAATTATCTATAATACCATCATTCTTCCAAATTGCTTGTACTGTTCGACTATTCTATATTTAGCAAATAATTCCATTTTTGAAAGACTGCAAATTTTACAAAATAAGTGCATGAGAATAATACTAAATAAAGATAAATATACTCCAATTAGGCAAATTAAAATGGCTCAATGTAAAAATTTTTATCAAATATCTTGTAATGATATTCATTTATAAAGTAAAAAATAATATATTTCCATCAAGTCTAACTAATTTAACATAATCAAATGTCGACCATCATTTACATAATACCAGAAATAAAGATGACTTCCATTTAATGACCAAAAAGTATAACATATGCTACAAATCTGTATTCCATCAAGGGTTGATTGAATATAATAAATTATACTCGGGGATAAAAGACCAGAAAACTTTGACAAAATTTAAAGTAAAATTGAGAAATCACTTGTTAAATCTACAATTATAGGTTGCCCAGCATTTACATCATACACCATATGGCTTGAATTTACTAGTTCTAAGTTGATTACAATTGTTCTGTTTATGTAGCCAAATGTGCTAAATAAATCTTTATACTACTACTACTTTCGTAATATTGTTTTTCAGCTGCTCTACAGTATTTGATTTGTTGGCATTTTCCAAAAATCAGCCAGTTATATATTAGCCACCCTGTATAACAGCGCCATAGCCCTAACATCCTGGATAGAGATAGTTGTTAAGCTTTGTCCCAGTGACCAAAAGCCTAGACCATACTGAAAAAGCACGAAACAGCTATTCATAGTCGACTGAGAGACGGTTAAAAATATGCTACCTATCCCTTACGCCTCTGCAACCTCAACCCCCAATTTTACCCATAATTTTTTTTTAAAATGATTATTTGAAATCTCAAAAAACAAAGTTTAAGCGATTTTTACTCTTTCGTTTTTGATCTCTTCCTTCACGGTCATTGGATCAAAAACTACAAAGCTTCTCCGACATAGGCATAGTAGTAACATTGTGTGCAAATTTCATCAAAATTGGATATCCAGACGCGTAAACTCTTTTTGCTACTGCGGCATTCTTAAGTTTCGCGAGGTAACTGTACAGTCCAAAGCTTCTTTAGAAACGTTTAAAATTGTTTGGAGGGATCGTCATTTGTGTAAAACAACTCAGTCTTGAGCAAAATTTCGCTGTTGTAATGCCAGATGAAATCAGGTATGAAACAGATGTAATCAAACGAGAGGCATATATAGCTACTCGTAATAGATTTAACAAATACTTTGTGTACAGCATTGAAAGTATAATAGGGGATATACGACGTCCACAAAACGTTATGCCCATGTATACTGGCCCCACAGTGCATAGGGGGATATTTAAAAATTTTGAAAAATTAGCAATGGCAAAAATGAAGGAAATAATAGGAAACTTAGGAATGTGTGCAGGGGTGAAGGTGGTATTTCCAAACAAGTCCTTTGTGACGCAATCGGTAATCGTCTTTTAGATGTTATTAACACGTCACGTAGCAATGGTCTTTTTCCAGAACCTTGGAAATTAACAACTGTCATTCCTGTTCCTAAGGTGAATAACACAAAATTATACTAAGTGACATATAAATCCGAACACCCAGTTTAAATGGTTTCATTTTAATAAAAGTTGGTGAATGTATTTATCTTACTGTAAATAACAAGTGAAAAAATGTTCAGCTTTATCAGTTGGACATTCTGGTTTTTATACTGCTTTTTTTTCATTCACTAACGCTCTAAAAATGAATATTTCAGCCGCGGTAAAGAATCAACGTTGGCGGATTTTGGTTCTTGACATCCTTTACGATCGGTTACGATGCCTAGAGTACGGAGACGTGTACGATTTCGTCAACTTAGTGAGTTTGATAGGGGCCGTATAGTGGGACTTCGGGAAGCTGGACTTTCTTTTCGGGCAATTGCAGTTAGAGTGCAAAGAAGTGTAGACACTGTGGTTAGGTGTTGTCAGGCATGGCTTCGAGAAGGCCGTACGCAAAGAGCAAGGGGCACTGGACGCCGCCGTAGAACAACAGACCGTGAAGATCGCCGCCCAAGATTATTGGCCTTAAGGGACCGTTTCTCCACTACCAGGTCCATTGCAAATGAATGGTTTGCAGAACACGGAAGACCTGTTGGCATGCGAAGTGTTTACCGACGGATGAGAAGTTTAGACTTGTTTTCATACCGGTCACACTGGGTCCTCCCTTTAACTCGAGAACACCGACGTAATCGCCTTGAGTGGTGCAGACAACGGTCACTCTGGGATCAGGAATGGAACAGTATTGTCTTTAGTGACGAGTCTCGATTTTGTTTAGGCATGCACGATGGTCGTGCCAGGGTTAGAAGGCGACGTGGTGAAAGGAGGAATCCACAGTTTTTTGTTGAAAGACATGTTCATCACACTGTTGGAGTTATGGTTTGGGGTGCTATAGCTTATGGTTCCAGGTCACCTTTAATCTTCATCAGAGGTAACATGAACGCGCAGAGTTATATCCACGAAGTTCTAGAACCCCATCTTTTACCCTATCTTGACACCCTGGCCCACATGTTGCAAGAGTCACAATAGACTTCTTTCAACATAATGATATCACATTGTTACCATGGACACCAAGATCTCCCGACTGCTCAATTTGCAACGTCCTCCTCAGACTCTAGAAGCACTTCGAGAGGAGTTGGTGGTCGCCTGGAATGAGCTACCACAGGAGGACATTAACCACCTGATCAGAAGCATGCCTAGGCGCGTTGGA